GGGGAGAGGGGGGGGGGGTTGTTGCAGGTGCAAGCCTCCCCCTCCCCCTCCCCCTCCCCGCTAGTTTCCCTGTCAGCTGCTGGTCAGTCCCTTACCCTTCCACCCACAGAGTTGGGAGTATGTGACCCTTCCCAACACATTGCCCTTGCTTCTTTTCCTTTCTTTCAGTCCATTCTAAAAATTACACTTGGGCACTCAGAGCAGAGCTTCCAAGAGGAGGGAAGGTGATAGCATCCTCTTTACCTTCATCTCATCGTATAGAGGTAATATTCTTTCTGTTCCACTAGTATCACTGGGGGGACGGAGATATTAAACAGATGCTACTAAAATTAGATATTTTAAAATCAGCAATTCCGAAAACTTGCATCCAAAGCCTTTCAAGATCTGGCTGAAAAGCTCAACCATTAATGTTGATTTTCAATAAGTGTTGAAGCACTAGAAAAGCTCCAGATGACAGTTTGAAAATTACATTGTGCCAGTTTTTCAAAAGGGCAAATAGGATGACCTGAGCAATTTTAGTTCTGTCAGCCTGACATAGATCCTAGGCAAGATAATGGAGCAGCTGACACAATACTCAATTAATGAAGAATTAAAGAAAGGTAATGCAATTAATAAAAATCAGTAGATCTCAAACTAACTCAGTATCTTTTTTGGTAAATTTACTTTTATCAGACAAAACTGACACAATGTTGACATAACGTATTTAAGCTTCTGTACAGCATTTGACTTGATACCACACAACATTTTGATTACAAAACTTGAACAATATAAAATTAACATGGCACATTAAATGGATCCAACAGAGATCAATATTAGGCCCCATGCTCTTATTGGGGATCATAGCCAATCATCAGCTGAACATGAACACCAAGTATAAGGTTGCATCCAAACAACTAATGAGCTCTTGGGATGAATAAACAGGAGAATCTCAAGTAGGAATAGAGAGGGTTTTTTCCTGTATATTTGACACTGGCACTACCATTGCTGAAATACTGTGTCCAGTTCTGATGTCCACAATTCAAGAAGGATGTTGATAAACTGGAGAAGGTTCAGAAAAGAGCCACAAGAATGATTAAAATATTAGAAAAAATGCTTATACCATGATAGGCTCCATCTATTTAGCTTAACAAACAGATGACTAAGAGGTGACTTGATTCCAATCTATAAATACCTACATGCGGAACAAACAGTTAACAATGGGCTTTTCCATCTAGCAGAGAAAGGTATAACGTGATCCAATGACTGAAAGATGAAGCTCATGTAAAAGTAACATTAATCCTGACAAATTAAGTACACAAAAGTTAGGACAATTAAAAGCTTATGTATCTGATGCATTTTTAATTTGATCTCACTGTTGATGCTATTAATAATCATTACTTCTACACTTCCAGAGATGTACATGGCACTTGACAGATATAGAAGAAAAAAGTGCATACCCTAAAGAGCGTATTGGGATTAATACAAACAAAGGAGTGAGGAGGATGTTACATGAAAATTATATAGGGTTGTGGGTGTGCATGTATATATATGAATGTAGAGTCTAATTTCCTATGCATCTGACAAAGTGAGTCTTTGCCCACAAAAGTTTATGCTCCAATAAATCTGTTAGTCTATAAAGTGCCACAGAACTCCTCATCGCTTTTGCTAATTTCCTATTGTTTGGCCACTCAATTAGGAGATAAGAGAGAACATAAGAACAGCCATACTGAGCTAGACCAAAGGTCCATCTAGCCAAGTATCCTGTCTTTCAACAGTGGTCAATGCCAGGTGTCCCAAAGGGAGTGAACACAATAGGTAATCATCACGTGATCCCTTTCTTGTCATCCATTTCCAGCCTCTGACAAACAGAGGCTAGGGACACCATTCCTACCTATCCTTGGCTAATAGCCATTGATGGACTTAACCTCCATGAATTTATTTAATTCCAGAGAAAAGCAACAAGAGTGATTAAAGGTCTAGAGAACATGAACTAGGAAGGAAGACTGAAAGAATTGGGCTTGTTTACTTTGGAAAGGAAGAGACTAAGAGGGGACATGATAGCGGTTTTCAGGTATCTAAAAGGGTGTCACGTTTTAAAATACATTGACTTCAATTATATTATAGAATACAAAGCGTAGTGGGCACACTTCATTATATTTGCTTACAATTTTTTTTAATTAAAAGCATTACAAAAAAGAAGCAGGAAGCATTGTCTCCTGCAAATGGAAACAAACCTGTTTGCCTGCAAATCTGGCTGAAGAAGAAGTAGGACTCAGTGGAATTATAGACTCTAAAGTTTTACATTGTTTTATTTTTGAATGCATTTTTTTCTACATTAATTCTATGTGTAAGTTCAACTTTCATGGTAATGAGACTGCACTACACTACTGCTACTGGGGGAACTGAAAATATTTTTAACGGTATATTGTTTTTATAAAAATGTGAGCAAGTACATCTTGTATTCTGTGTTGTAATAGAAATCCATATATTTGAAAATGTAGAAAACACCCAAAAATATTAAATGAATGGTATTCTATTATTGTTTAACCGTGAGATTAATCGCACAATTTTTAAACTGCTTGACAGCACTACTTAAAATATTAAATACCTCTCTGATAACACATACCTTTTTAAGCAATTTCTGTAATTATCAGAGAGATGTTCTATAAATTGCCAACTGGAGTGGAAGTGGTCTCTGCAATCATGAAAGGGAGGAGAGGTAATTCATGAGACATTCCCTGCAGAAGTGTGTCACCATCTCCCTGTGAAAGCTCGACACACCAGACAGCTACTGCTCCATGAAGAACCAGTTCGGTGTGGGGAAATCCACAGTCGGCCGTGCTCATGCAGGTAATCAAGACCATCAACACCATATTGCTGCAGAGGGTTGTCGCCCTGGGGAATGTTTGTAGGGATAACATATTAAAGTACTTAAAATGATTCCCCCAAGTGGAAGTGACTCCCCATAATTTGTTCCCCACAACTTAAAAGTCTAAGTAGCATAAGTTTGTTAAGTAGAAGAAGCATATAAGTGTTTAGATTTAGTGTTATCAAGCTTGATAAGTGTTTAGATTTATTATTATTATTATTTGTTAAGATTGTCAAATGTTTAGATTTATAATTATTGCCCCTCTAAAATATAATTTGTTAGGAATGTAATATTAGGTCATGTAAAAATGTTAAAAATATAATACCATGTAGCCAGACACAGCTCCCCTCTCTGTGTCCCAGGGCACGCTCAAACTTATTGTTACACAATTGACGCCCATTCTCTTCAAAGCATTGTGAAGCAATTAACCCTAATCGCAAAGTGAAACATTGTAACTATAACAGTAACTCAGCACTCTGAGAGAGAATGCTTTAAGAAATGCCACCCAGAAACTTGTGACTTTTTGTAACTACAACTCTTGTATATGTAAAGTTATTATTATACAAAATACTGTATGGGAAACATTAATTAGGGAATGTATGTAAGAGAGAGAGAGAGTGCTTAGATGATGAATGAATGGTTTTGAGAGGTGCCAGCCTGAGAATGCAGCAACAAAGGGCTGAAGAAGGCGTCAGGTGCCAGTGCAACCGAAAGGTGTCAAGCGGAGAAAACAAAGTACTGGAGGTCCACCCTATGAGATCACTGACAAGCACCTGACAGCCACCCTGGACATCAGCATGATGCAGCAATTCCCACAGACTGGCATAGGAAGAAATTCCTATAAGAACTGGACTAAAAGACTATGGAGTCAGAGTCCAAGGTTCTGCTGCCAGCCCACCAGGAGCTTCAGCTGCGCATCTGATCAGGACTTTGCTCCCCACTACCATCACTTGTGTACAGAATACCTGGCGAGTATTCTGTCACAAGCAACTTCCAAGCTGGTAACTATAACAAATACATAGAACCTGAATGAATGGATGAATGATTGAATGAATGTTAAGTAGTTAAACAACGTTGTTTGCTTCTATCTTTTCTTTATTCTTTATTATTATCTTTACAATAAATGTGGCTTTTTGCCTTATCCCCCTCATAAGATCCTGCTTGCTTTTATTGGTACAACATGTTGACCCTATCGTGGATGGTGTGGTGTTGTATGCACACCATGTCACAGGAGTAAAGCTATTCTGGGGTGAGGACGCCACGCGATTGGCTGTGGGGGTCATCAGCCGTCTCTTTAATCTGAAAGTTCCTCTGGTCTTAGAATAACACTGAGTCCGTACTTGGCCCTACTCGCAGGGCAGAATGGCCTACTGGCCAAAGTCAGTGAGTCACCCTCATCTCAGGGTAGTGTGGCTCAGTGCCCAAAGTCTAAGAGCAGTTCTTGTCCCGGGGAAGTGCGGCTTAGTAGCCAGAGTCAGTGGCTTAGGAACTAGTGCCCCAGGCCCACCCTGCTCCACCAGGTCCTGACCCAGAGCTCTGTGAGTGGCAGATAGGTCTACTGCTCTCTCAGCAGGGAGTCTGGCAAAAACATACCAAGTGTACCTGGGCAAGAGAGGTCACTCCTACACATTCCCTGGGTCTCTTCCTACCTGTGTTGCTGGGACGTCATCGCATGTAGCGGCTGGGTCTCTCAGTTCCCCGGCAGTGACTTTTCCCTGGGGCTCCTCTGGGTCCATGTAACGGCAGTCTCTTGGGCTTTCGGTTCCCACTGCCTAGGTTGCTCGTTGTTGTAGCTCAGGAGCTCTGGCTGAAGGTCCTTCCCTTTCACTGGCCTGCCCAGACTGTGTTGCTTTCTGGCCTTTTATGCTGTCCCAACACTTGGAGCATACCCAGTCTGGTTGAAGCTGTTGGACTTCCTCTGCCCACAGGCTTTTTACCCCTCCTGCTCCAGTGCAGGGTATGCACACCCTGTCACAGATGGCTTTGCCACCCTGGGCTTCTCCAACTGTGGGGAGGCCATAGACAACACCCACATCCCCATCCTAGTCCCTAACCACCATGCCTTGGACTATATAAACAGGAAAGGCTACTTCTCGATGGTGCTGCAGGCCCTGGTGGACCACAAGGGCTGGTTCACTGACATTAACGTTGGCTGGTCAGGGAAGCCTCATGACACCCGCATGTTCCAGAACTCAAGCCTGTCCCAGAGGATGCACACCAGCACTTTTTCCCCAACACCACCATCAGGATCAGGGATGTGGACATGCCCATGTGCATCCTGGCTGATGCAGCCTACCCCTTGCTCTCCTGGCTGATGAAGCCCTACATGGGCAGCCTGGATCTCACCAAGAAGCCTGGAGAGTTGGGCGGGGGAGGAAGTT